CGGTTACTTCCTCAAACCTGATCAGCTCTAAACCCGGATCTGCCTTGGTCCTTGAGCAAGGTCACCTCATTAAAGCATGCATGCAATGTTCCATCAAATGTCCTCTAAGCAGCATGGGGTACGCTTGGCAAGGAAATTTCGATGCGTCATTCCTACTTGGTAATGGCCCTCAGCATGAATGCTAGATAGACATTCATCACATACACATAGGGAGGTGTTTCCTAAGCATGTTAATTAGCACTGTGGGGAGAAAGAGTTGTTGTTGTTGGGTTTTGTTGTTGTTGTTGTTGTTGTTTTTACTAACATAGTTCATGAAACAAACAAATAAAAATAATCCCTATTAAGAAGAGGAGAGAGTAGTGGGAAACTAGCTGAGGGACAGAATTAGATTTGGTCCATTTAGGAACTAATATGTGTGAGATGATAATTTTAACCAACTGCTTAAAACTCTCAAATGCATCTCCATTACTACAGAACTACTCAGAAGTTTAAAAGAATTGACATGAAACACCATGAATGGAACTCAAATTAACTATGGTGAGTAAAAGAAACCAGGTAAAACAACAATATATTTAGTATTATTTCATTTGTCTACAACTCTGCAAAGTATCAACTAATATACAGTGACAGAAAGCATATCAGTTGTTTCCTGAAGATGTAAGTGAATTGGCAGCTATGGTCAGGAGAGAGAGAGATTACCATGGATACAAAGAAGACTTTAAGGATGATGGATATGTTCACTATCTTTACAGTGGATGGTTCCAACATATATTTGTCAGAGTTATGAAATTAAATGTTGAAAATGTATCATTTTTTTGTGTGCCAAAGATACTTTAATAAATTTGTCAAAAATCAAAGAAATAAAGGGTATTCTATGTTTGTTTGTTTTTGTTTTTACTTTGTAAAAGCTCTGTTAAAATCCACATAGAGCTCAAAATAGAAGTTTCCTTTTGGAAGGGTGTAAGAACTGAAGAAAGAAGGGCCCACAGGAGAAGGATAATTTTCTTCACATTTCTCTCAATTTAAGTAATCATTAATTAATTAATAATTTAATTAATTTATTGAGCACTTTTTATGTGACAGATACTACTATTGCCATTAAAGTTGCATTAATAAAAAAATACTAAAAAAGCCTACAACTCTTAAGAAGGTTATAGAATTATATAATTGCCATGTAATTTATTAAATAGAAAAAACATGCAGTTTAACATTTTTTATCAAAATGTTTATTTCAGAAATAATTCATTTTAATTATGTATATGAATATGTTTATGTATTTTGTGTGTATATATATATATGCACAATCATATATGATATGTATATACTGTATACATGTATGTATATACACATGCATATATATTTCCTCTTTTTGGATTTTTTTTCTGACTTCTTACTTTTTCCTTTTTTTATAAAAGATAATATACTTGATAATATACTTATTAATAGAGAATTTCAATTTAACAATGTTCTTCTTGCCTCTTCTATTACACTTATTTTTTAACTAATACATAAAAATTGCAAATGTTAATGGAATAACATATTATATTTCCAATGCATGTACAGATTTTGGAATGTGTAAATCAGTTTAAATATATCTCTACTAAAACATTTATCACTAGCACATGGCGAGAACTCTTTAACTCCTTTTTTATATCTTTTGGAAACATGCAGTACTTCTGTATTTTCTATTGTTATCCTATACTGCAATAACACACCCGAACTTCTTGCCCCTCTCAGATGTAACTTAGCACCCACTGGGTGAAGGACATTACCCCAGGGCAGATCTACAGTACCTTCTCCTTTGTGGAGCTTCTTAAGCTCAGATGCACAGGGCAAGCTCCCTGTGTGTCCTACAAAGTCTCCTTCAGGCTCCAATTATTAAACGGGTAAAACTTCATCTGTTATTGACATATGTGCCTCTTTCACTTAATGAAAGCCAATATTTGTGTATTCTGAGCAATCATCAGTATCCAACATATTGCTATACACATAGTGAAAGAAGTAATACAACATTTCTCATTTTTGTCTCAGTCCATTCTTCCTGACATGAATAGCTGAGAGGTGAACGCTGTTGTGCCAACTCCAGTTCACCACACCATGATTGGCCAGCTTCGCTGTATTGACCAGGATTCTAATTTCCTAGATCCACAGGAGAGAGCCATGTCTTCCATAGATTTCCTAGGGGTATATGAAGACATAGGTGCCATATTTGTGACTTCTAGATTTAAGAATGTATAGTTAAACCTTTATAGAAATTATTTCAAATAGAAAGCTATTGATTTTTTTCTAGAATGTATATAGCTCCCCCCCCCCCATATTTGCTATTTTGGGTGCTAAAATTGAGTCATCTTTAACCTTTCCTTATGTAGGGGGAAAAAAAGGAAATCAGTGACAGATCCATGGCTCTATAAAAAGTGAACATTAAACTGGGGGGAGTGGTTGGGAGATGAGAAAAAGGAAACAGAGAAATAGAGAACTTAATGGAGGCTGGACAGACAAATTTGAGGTATAAGAATTCTCCCCAACATAAAAGGCCACCTGAAGTACAGGTGCCGGAGGTCAACTTCTGAGAGGAACACGCCCTGCATGCTGTGCTTCATGAATATGGGAATTTCATCCACACTGAGTTGGGTCAGAAAGAAGAGGATGCGTAGACACCAACAGGACAGAGAATTTAGTGGAAGCACAAAGACGACAAAGGCGAAAGTGACCATAAATACCTAGATGCTACACAAACCCTACAGAAGCAATGGATTTGCATTAGATCTGATCAGGGAGTAAAGAGAATGTCTTTAAAGAAACAAAGGGTAGGATGATGGTGGGGGGTGTACAAAGTACATAATATGATCCTGGAGTTATTTATAGATTACAATGAATTTCTAATGACTATTATTGGATTTCTATGATGGTTCTGGAAGATGACCAGGTCAGAAACTATTATTCTACTGGGGAGAAAAATACTGAGGTTCCTAGCTGTTTAAAATCACACTGGAGCCAGTGAATAGAGGAGGGATAATGGGCCCACAGGTCTATCTGCTTCTCCACTCCTCCCTAGATCTTTCCTCTTCTCATTTGCTTCCATTCTTCCTTCTCTCCTTCCTCCTCACCAACAGCAATTTCTGTCTTCAGACTGAGTACATGTGAATCTTCAGTTAATAATTACAATCCTGTACCCTTAGCATCATGGTTTTGAACACGCAGCTGCAGAAGAAGCTATAGAAGTAAAGAAGATGAACTACATTTCAATAGAAAGGACATCTCAATATGTAATTTACTTTTTTGAAACAAATATGTAATATAAACATATATGTAGTCTTTGATTCCTATTTATTTATTTATTTATTTATTTATTTATTTATTTATTTGCCGTGGGGATTAAAATTAAGCACAGTGAGAAAATCTGATGCTATGAGTCTGGCTTATTTAGGCTTAATTGCTTATACTTTAACTATGATGTAACTCCCCAAAGTTTTCTATGTACACATCAGTATACTAGATTCTGCAAATACTGTGTATGATTTTAAACTAAAACTAAAACCAAAGAGTTCCCTCCACCACCTTTTTTTTTTTTTTTTTTTTTTGGTTGTTTGGCTTAGGAAATTGCATTTAGAAAAGCCCCTTTGGCCAGAAACACTATTGTACGGGAAACTTGTATCTTTCTTGATAAAGACAATTTTTTTTTCTTTCTGTGTGGAACTAAACTATTCTCTAATTCCCCTAGTGGGACTTGAATTAATATAGTAGAACAGAGTTTACTCTCAACAGCTGCAACTTGCACCTGTGCAGTATTTTTTTAATCCTTTTTCACTGCAGTGTGATAGAGAAAAAAGCAGGGGAAATGCTTTATGGGATCTTCCAACTGTGATGCTTAATGTATTATTAGGAACAGAAATCCTCAGTGGGATTTAACCATGCCTACTAGGAATTAGGCTTAGGGAACCAAATATGAAAAGTATATAACATTTTTTCTAACCTACACTAAGCTGGGCCTGGGGATCTACAGTGGTCATTTTCTGGTTTCTCCCCAATCTGTCATCCTAGGTTTTCCCAGGTAATTCCATCATCTGACTTCTGTGATCCACAGCCTACAGGGCAGAAGCATTTGCAACACCATACTGGCATTGCATGAGGATCATTGGCTAAGACAGAGCACACAATCAGCTTTGCTGTATGTATGCCTGCTCCACGCATCATTAAGCATTAATGAAATGTTCTCTAATTGTTTCTCATTCCTGGCTCACAGGCTCTTTATCGCTTGGTACTTCCGTGTAGCTACTCTTGAAGTCAAAGCTAACTTTTCCAACTGTTGAGATGGCTGGCACACACCTCTCTGTGGAATAAACAATATTAACCTACTATGATTTGGAAGGCAAAAGAAGGAGTAAGAATGTTCCTGATCACGGGCATCTAAACAACATTTTCAGTTTTGCTTTTAGCTGCCAATTCTTTTACTTCTGAATCGCAAGTACTGCCATCCACTCTTGGCTTTGCATGAAGATCTGTGCCAACTATCAAAAACATCTTAGCATCATTCATTGCTATTTGAAAAAAAAATTTCAGTAATGGATGTGAATAAATGTTCAAGATTTCTGAGGAAACTTCTCTAAAGAAAACCTTGCAAATAATGTATTTTAAGAGAAAATTGTTTGGAAAATACAGAAGATTGTAAGGAAAGAAGTCGACCAATTTGTACCATCACACAGAGATAAAAGCCATTCATATGCTTGGTATAATATATTTTGAAAAAAAAAATGTTTTGGATATGTCTCGGCAAAACAAATTTCTCCCATCAGAAATAGAAATAATGATCATCTTAAATGTGTATGTTGGGAGTAGGAGGAAAGTTTTATTGCTGACTGTTAGAAAAAAATTAAAAGGTGCAAATGCTAATAAAAACTGTCACCATGCTTGACAATTTAATAAGGGGAGATTATGAGTGCATTATTATCTTAGCAGAATATTTTCATTTCACCCAGGATCTCCCCCATAAGACCCAAGTGGGAAATCTAGCTTAGAATTCAGTGCCAACTTTTATACTGGATATATTTGGGGAACTGCAATCTCCAACTGCACCAAACTGTTCCTGTTGACCAAGTAGTAAAATAAAATTCAGGAAGAGGTAGTGGTGAGTTTGCAAAATTCAGCAACCTCAGGAGTTATTAGACAGAAAACTTTTCATTTTTAATGAGGGCTGTAGGGGATTTAGGCACATAAATGAATGTGGTTTTGATTAAAAATATCAGTCACATATTGCATGCAAACATTTAAACTAAGGCCAACTGGCAATAAAGTTTCAATGGGGTCAGGCTATGTCAAAATTCATTCTTTTTTTTTTCTTTTTTTCTTTCTTATATTTTTTTCATATTGGGGATTGAACCAAGGGCCTTGTGCATGCTAAACACTATTTAGGCCTGACCTACACCCCTAGAACCTCAGAATGTGACTTTAAAGAATTCATTTAATTAATATAAACTCATTAGCTAACAAATGAAGTAATTATCAATTAAGTTTAATTTATCTTGAAATATGAGCATTCTTTCCAGAACCAAAATTATCCATAGAATATATGTTCCTTTAACATTAATTCTGCCAGTTTTAGGTTACCAAATTTCTCCTTTCTCCTCTTGATTCCCTACTGAAGTGTCAGACAGCCATATTTCTTGATTAAGTGGACGTGTCTGCCTCTTTTTACTTCATCTGTTGTTCTGTGGCTCCCAGGGTTGAATGCATATGGCAGTGCCCAGTGAGAACACAAGTTGGTGGCCAATGTTGCCGCATGCCTGTCATTTCTCCAGCTTATACTGCACAGTTGAGTGGGTCTGTCCTTTGAGTGATAGTGGGGACAGGGCCTGGGAGAAATCAGAGTGACAACTTAGCTCAAAACAGACCCCCCTTCATCACAGACTGACATGCTTCAGAGGACAAGTGCCTACAGCAGACATTTCCACCACATCCATAGGCTTAAAGGTATATATTTACTTAAAGTCACAGGATTTTCAGATCTTCATGGGAGGATGCTAAGTGAAAGAAAACAGCACCTCCATGAGAGAAGAGGTGCTTGTGACTGGTAAGCATCAGACCAGTATCTGCCCTTCTGTCCTCTGGCTGTCAGGTCTCCCCACAGCAAGGTTCTTTCCATGTTCCCTTTTTAATAGCTCTGGACCAAGGCAGCTGAGCTATTGGGTACCTTCTTATTGTGACTAGAGTTTTTCTCTCTTTCTTTTTAAAAACATTAGAATCTCTCTTCTACCACCGAAGTCACTGAAGTTCATCAGTTGATTTTACAAAGAGGATTTTAAGTTAAAAAAAAAAAAAGGAAAGGCTTATTCAGAATAATTTTACCATATTTGGGAGGAAAAGTCATTCAAAGACTAGGTCCTGTTGATGTTGATTTCTCAGTATGTTTGTTGATATAGGATCTCTCAGTATATCCATAAAATAGGTACTCAATCAATGCATTTAATTTGGTTTAACTGTTTCCTTGAATTCAGGTAGGTGGTGGGGGAAAAAAAGAGAGAATAGGCTATAGTTAAGCAGAAGAATCTGTCCACGTCAGCACAATTCAAATCTATGGAGAGTATGGAATAACTCTTCCCATGAAGAAGGTTGTGTATACAGTAGACAAGTACTTCCAGCTGTACTGTCTTACCTGCCCTTCAATTTACCCTCCCCACTCCCCCCTCAGACTAGACAGTATAAAAAGAAAGGTGTTAAGAGGCTGTTAACAATAGAACTGGGAAGGAGGGTTCAATCCATTCCAGATGTAGTAGTTGACACCTTGTTTTAACTTTGTTCTAAGTCTAACACCTCATACATCATTGACAATGGGCCAATCAGGAATCATACCTGGTGATTGAGGTACCATGATTAGGTGCTAATAATTAGGGCTAGAATTCTTTTGACTGAAGAAAACATTTTGGTAGTCTGTTTCTCAGAGCTTCACACTAGATCTTTTCTACCTGGCTTTGCAATTATACTTTCTTGAAGCCAATTTTGCAATTATGTTTTTTTTTTCTTCTTTTGTTTGCCCTATTTGGAAAAAGCATATTTGTACTTTTTTTTTTCTTCTCTTCATTTTTTTTAAATCTACTCAGTTGGAAACCACAAATGTGATATTCTGAACTATACTATAGACCTAGTTTACTAACAGGTATATGAATTTAATACATTTTTTTGTAGAATACGACAAGAATGAAAAGGCAAAAGAGTTTTTTGTATTATAATGAAGAATATCTTGAAAGAGCTTCAGAACCCCAGGACCACAGTATGAGAAACACTGTATTAAAAGATATTTTCATGATTATACTCACCAAGAGAGTTTAGAGCATGGATAATGAAGGAGGTAAGGAAGGAATAGAAGCTTTAGAAGAGAACTGAGAAGTATGAAGATGGGAAAATGACAGAGGACTTTTCTTATGCTGGAAAGAAAAAGGACAAATCAAGGTGGGAAAGAAGACATTGACTAAAATATACAGAAGGCAACTATCCTGTTCAAATGTGGTGGTGTTGATGCAGTTGTTCAGTGGGGAACCAGCCTAAGACAGGTACAGATTATTCAGGGTATATTCCATGTATAGGCACTTTCAGAAACAAAATATTATCTAAAATTCAGACAAAACCATTATTCTTGAAAACTCATCCAATGGATTGTAGAGGGGAAAAAGTATAGCAGATCATTCAATAAGTCAAGACCCTTATTAAAATAGAAATGAAAAAATATCTTACCTTAAACAGTGAATCCCTAAACTTAAATGTGATTGTATAACTACATTAGAAATTCAGAGTAGAACTCATTGAGAAGCTGACATTTAAACAAAGACTTTGAAGAGGTAAAGGATGTAACCTTGTAGGTAACTTAATGAAGAACATTCCAGGCAAGGGGAAGAGTCAGCATAAATGTTGTAGTTCTGGAAAATGCCTAGAGCATTTAAAGAAAACTATCAGGAATTCAATGTGACTAAAGCAGAGGAGCAAAGTAGATGATTGTGGAAAATACTTTTAGACCGGTAATAGGGATCCAAAAGGTCATTATAGAAACTTTGACCTTTGCTCCAAGTGAACTAGAAGCCATTGCAGAATTTTGAGCAGAGAACTAATAAGATGACACATTTGATGATTCAGCAGTAAGTCACGGAGGGCAACAATGGAAAGAATCAAGTGAAAAGCTATGCCCAAAAGACTCTGAGATGATTGTCTTCAATTCCTTCCCCTCTCATATTAAGCATGTGGAACTTTTCAATATGAAGAACATGAATCTTCAAATCTGGGATAGAATTATTGACTTGTTTGATTAAGAAGATGAGATAGAAAAAGAGGAAGGGACCCTAATAAGAAGTCCTGCATTCCTGAACTAACTTTTCTTGAAGCTCAGCTTAAAACCTAGTAACTATGCTACTTGAAACGGAGCCTACATGGAGAGTCTATGTGTACAGGGCCCTGCTAACAGGTCCATCTGAGCACCACTTACCAGCCAGCATCAACTGCCAACCAAGCTCATGCACCATCTAACTGTAAGTGCACTAAAGACCCCAGTGAGAACCAAGTCAAATAGCCACCTCAACTCAAAATGTAATGAAGAAAGGTAAAATATTACCTAAGTTCACAAAGATCTGGAGTAACTACAAATAAATGAAGCAAAAGCTATTGCTTAATTCATTGAGTGGTACCAGTAAAGAAATGAGAATTGTCTGGCTTTTCAGTGCAATTGATATAGAGCAAAAATTTTCATCTGACTGACTAATGTCTAAGTAGATGTGAAAAAAAAAGCAGTGACTAAGAATATCTACAAAACATTTTACCAGAACAATAGAAAGGTAGAATTTGCTACCAAATAATTTTTTAGAGAATTGTAGATGGATTAATTATGGGGGAGAAGTAGCCTTTTTCATATATTAATTTTTTATTTGTTTTAATTAGTTCTAGATGACAGTAGAATACATTTATGCACTTTGATATAGTGTACACAGATGGGATATAATTTCTCATTTTTCTGAGTGTATATGTTGCAGAATTATACTGATCATGTGGTCACATACATACATAAATTAATAAATAATTCATTCTACTATCTTTTCTATCCCCACATCCCGCTCCCTCCCTTCCCATCACTTCTCTCTACTATTCTAAGGTAACGCTATTCTTCTCTAATGCTCCCAGCCTTATTGTAAATTAGCATCTTCATATTAGAGAAAACATCAGACCTTTGGTTTTGGGGGACTGGCTTATTTCACTTAGCATGATATTCTCCCACTCCATTTATTTACTGGCAAATGCTTTTATTTCACTCTTCTTCAAAGCTGAGTAATATTCTGTTGAGTATATATACCACATTTTCTTTATCCATTAATCTGTGGAAGGACACCTAGGTTGGTTCCATAGTTCAGATAATGTGAATTGAGCTGCTATAAACGTTTATGTGGCTGCATTACTGTAGTATACTGATTTTAAGTCCTTTGGGTACAAGCCAAGGAGTGGGATGGCTGGATCAAATGGTGGGGTTTTTTTTGAACATAGAAATTTTAAAGGGGTGATTTAGAAACTTATTTGGCAAAAGCAAGTAAGGTGGGCAAAAAGGACAAATTAAATCCAGGAAGATTAGTGGAAAACTTATTTGGATAGAACTGTAAAGTACATCTGGCTTTCTTAGGAATAGCTACAGGAAGCAAATAAAAAAGAAGAAAAAAGTGTAAGACAAATAAAAAATGTCCAAAGTGACAATGTCAAATGTCAAAGAATGAGTCATATAATTTGATCCTAGTCTATGAAGATAGGCACAAAGACCATGTCTAGGTTTCTATAATTTAAGTTAGATAATGAAGGCTTCAGTAGAAATGAGAAATTTATGAAAGTTCATGACATATTCAAAGTAAATTGTTCTGAAATAAATGGGAAAATCAGAATCGTGTATATTT